CCCATGCACCCTAAAAGATTCGCATAAATATCATCTCCTTTCCTGTCCTTTTTATAACGGCCGCCCTCAACTTTCCGTCACAATCCTCTGAACAGCCCGGGTGCGAAACCCGCGAATTAACCGATCAAACTTTTTGCACCCGGAATTCGAGACCCGGGATGGGGGGCCTGGGAATTTCCGAATCTGGGAAGCTTGGAATCTTTCCCGCCGTCGCCCTCTCTCCCCTTTAAAACGATCCCCCACCAATGAAAATACAAACATTTTGATGGGATGACGAATCGTCAACGGTTTCGAAACGGACAGCTCCTCTTTTTCGGCGAGTGGTGAGACCAGAGATGATCATTTTGGGCAAAGAAAGGGTGAGAAAGCGAGAGAGAGAAAAACGGAGAGACAGAAAGTGATGACAAAAAAAACACAGTTTTTAATGCTTCCGAATTCTTCGAATTCGAATTCCGGGTAAAGGGGCCCGAAGGGTAAAAAAATGCTAAAACCGATGCAGACAATTTTGATAGACCAGGCAAGAGGTTCCCAAAGATTCTCTGCTAGTTCACCTAGTTGCAAGCTGTATCAGAGAGGCTAATTCCCAAATGATCTCTACTGGCCTGCCCCATTCCCAAATGATCTCTGCTAACCAGGTACGGCCTAAAAAAATTAACCTCATTGATCTTTACCCCCCAGTTTCCCTCCATCAAAACAAAACTTTTCGCAAGTTTTCCCGGGGGGTTCATCTCACCCCGGTCGGACCGCCAGGTTCAGATTTACGACCCGAAAATAGTAGCGTCTCGGAAAAATCCTCATTCCACACGTTGTTGGCATGTGATCCCAGTGGGGATGGCACACCAGGTAGGTCCGGTTTTTCATCAAATAACTCTCGCTTTTTCACGCGCCCCACAGAGACCATTTCTCAAATTTGATTTCTCTCTCTCTCTCTCTCTCTCTCTCTCTCTCTCTCGCTCTCTCTCTCGCTCTCTCTCGCTTTTTATCTCATTTTTAATCAGATGATGCCCCCCGTTCCAAATCTGGCCCTCCAATTTCTCAAATTTTTATCAGTTTTCTCTACCTGGACACTCCGTATCACAACTCATGACGAACGTTGTGACAAAAAGGGGATAACTAACGTTTAGGAAAATTTGGGATTGGCATGCTAGCACAGATCCTTAGGGAATGTCACGACGACCGGCTAGACAAGCAAGAAGAGATTATTTGGGAAAATACGCCTGAATTAGTTCCCGATGGCAGAGTGAATTCAGGGCAAGTTAGCAGCAATTATTTAGGAAATAAGCAAGATAAAAATGTCGCTTGCCTGGCAAGCTAGCAGAGATTCTTGAGGAAAATTGGCTACATCGCATGGCTTGGGGAGCCAGCAGTGTTTCCGATGCATTTCAGGAGCCTCGGAAACCCGAAAATCGACCTCTCGTCGACTAGGTCGCGACAGTTACGCGATGCACCAAATGACAAATGGCCCCCGTTCGCAACACAACCCTAGGGCCGTAAAAATGAAGATGGTCACGCGTCATTGGGAGTCTCGCGTAGATGTCTAGACCTAGTCGAGGGGCCGATCTATCGTCCTTTTAAAAAGCATATTTTTTGCTTCCTAGTCCCTTTAAACCCAAAATCAGTCGTCCTCCAGAGTTATCCAAGCAAATCGGGCGCACTTTCCGCTATTCCGAACAAAAAGCGCACGCAGCGCGTGAAAATGAAATGCAAATTAGGTCGAGTCGGGGGTGTTGAGGCAAACTGTTCATCCGTTCTGCTGCTTCTGCTTTCTCTCCCGATTTCCGCTTCCCCCTCTCTTCTCGGCGGGACCCACTTGAGAATTGCCATCCCTTCCCCTGCAGGCTAATTACGCGCATCTTTGGCGGTTTTTCACGGCGCCAAAATCGGATGGTTTTGGCATCAGAGAAACTATGTTTAGAAGCCCGGCGCGCCGGCGGGCAGTCTAGCAGGGATTCTTTAGGAATCTTCCATCCTCTTCCATCCTTCCATGAAACTATCCGTGATCAGTTCCGATTGGAAGATGTTTGGAAGCAAAAAAACGGGATATTTTCTAGATCTTGAAGAGCCAGGTTTCCTCGATTTTCCGCTACACTCCACCTTCCGCCAAACCGTACACAACCGGACTCCCCGGCCAAATTTGGCATCGCTCAGTCTCGGATCGCGACTTTGAGCGCCTGGATGGGGAGCCTGAGAGATTGATGGGCTGCCATGCCAATAGCCGTGACCCCCTCGGGAAGTTTGCCCGTACAAAACGAGACCCGGGTTTTGGTTTCCCAAAGGATCTCTGCCAGCCTGCCCTTCAGAAATGGGGCTGATCGAATTTTGTGCGTTTAAAAACATGGCTTCCCAAAACCTATAACCCAAATTTAATTGAATTCAAGATTTTCTCATGAAATTCGATATTTGGTTCTACCTACCCTCCCCCCTCCACTTCGTTTCCACGAAAATAATTAAACGAACACCCCCGCGTTTCAGTTTTTCCCTTTTTGTCCAATCGACAGCATGTAGAATTGGAAAGGAATTGGCACCCCTGCGTGAAGAGAGAGAGAGAGAGAGAGAGAGAGAGAGAGGGAGAGAGAGAGAGGGAGAAAGAGTGGCCATGCCAAAACAGTGAGACGCACCGATATTTCTGGAAATTTTTGGGGTGCCGATTCGATTGGTTACGATAGGAAAAAGGAAAAATGCGGGTAAGGTTCGAAGTCTGAGGTAGGCTAGCAGAGATCATTTGGGAATGGAAGGGACAGGCTAGCAGAGATCATTTGGGAATGGAAGGGGCAGGCTAGCAGAGATCATTTGGGAATGGAAGGGGCACGCTAGCAGAGATCATTTGGGAATGGAAGGGGCAGGCTAGCAGAGATCATTTGGGAATGGAAGGGGCAGGCTAGCAGAGATCATTTGGGAATGGAAGGGGCAGGCTAGCAGAGATCATTTGGGAATGGAAGGGGCAGGCTAGCAGAGATCATTTGGGAATGGAAGGGGCAGGCTAGCAGAGATCATTTGGGAATGGAAGGGGCAGGCTAGCAGAGATCATTTGGGAATGGAAGGGGCAGGCTAGCAGAGATCATTTGGGAATGGAAGGGGCACGCTAGCAGAGATCATTTGGGAATTGGAAGGGGCAGGCTAGCAGAGATCATTTGGGAATGGAAGGGGCAGGCTAGCAGAGATCATTTGGGAATGGAAGGGGCAGGCTAGCAGAGATCATTTGGGAATGGAAGGGGCAGGCTAGCAGAGATCATTTGGGAATGGAAGGGGCAGGCTAGCAGAGATCATTTGGGAATGGAAGGGGCTGGCTAGCAGAGATCATTTCTATTGTTTCCATTCCCTAATTCGCTAAATCGATTTTTAATTTCCGGATATTTACATCCTGGAGATTCCGGGGAACACGTTGTTTACACCCGCCACCGGATTGGAATGGAAAAATGAGATTTGTCCTTGGCGGCTATTGACAAAAAACGAGTAGGCAGCAAGAAGGACAGGCGACACATATTTTTTGAGAGCCGGAAAGTGACCGGTTCGGCTAGCGGTTATAGCAGATAAATATCGTATGATCCCTAGCTCTTCTCTCTCTCTCTCTCTCTCTCTCTCTGTCGCTTTCTGTAACTACGAAAAAACATGCAAATTCTGGCCGGACTCCAGGCTATGCAAAAACGACAATACAGAGGGGAAAGAGAGAGAGAGAGAGGGAAAAAGCGAGAGAGAGAGAGAGAGAGAGAGAGAGAGGAGAGAAGAGAGACGTAGACTGTCAGACAGGGAGCAAGAGAGAAAGACCCTACGAAAAACAGTCAGGCACCAATGTCCGGTTTTTTCCCCTGGGCGGCAATTGATTAAGGGAGGTCTGAAGACAAGGTCGTCCCTCGTGCTCCGTCTCTCTCTCTCTCTCTCCCTCTCTCCCTCCCCCTCTCTCTCTCTCCGTCTCGAAATGTTATCCCAGGATGGCCTCCAGGCATAAAAACAGTCATCTTCCCCTCAAGGTCCCCCTCTATTGGCTGACCAGTCAAACATTTGCATTACCATCTTCGCAGGCCCCGCTGTGGTTAACGGGATGCCTGGGAAAAGTTGATTTATGCAAATTTCGGTGTGGGATTTCGGGTTAGATGTATTAAAAAGAAAAATTGGAGCTTGAGGAATTCAAATTGCATAAAAATGGGTACCAGAAAATACCAAAATAGGCGGATTATCCAATTTTAGCTCGAATTCTAAGTTTGAAAGGTTGGAAAAATACGACTCATACTCAGAAATACTAGGAGAGAGAAGTGAGAGAGAGAAAAAATTCTACTCGGAAAACCGGAATAGACACGAGAAGGGGTAGATTATAAACTGGTAGCAAGGTTCAAAGGGTTCAAAAAAGGCCGAAGATCGACGCATCCCATCGACTAGGCCCAGACAGCTACGCCTCCAAAACACCGTCCGGACGGAGGTTGCTCTCGTTATTTGGCGGGCTTTGTGGCTGTCTAGACCTATTCTCAATAATAGGTAGATTCTCGTGCTTACTGACCCCTGTAAAATGGCATGGAGTGTTGAGAAGGAGAATAAGCTAAAGGTCTGCTAAACGGGCCGGCTAAAGGAACCGGGAAGGCCAAAAATCTATCATTTTGAACCACCGGGTCTAGACAGCTACGCGACGCGTCAAATGACGAATTAAAAACTGAATTAATTTTTGTGTACGCACGTGAAAAGTTTATGTTGTAAGTATGGGATTCTCACTCGTTATTAGTGCGTAGCGTAGCCGTCTAGACCTAGTCGATATAAGGGGTAGATTCTCGGATTCCAAATCCCTAGAAAAGTATAAATCGAGAAATTAATATCTAGAAAGGTAAAACAGGTACTGAAAATCGATACCAAGCAGTAGCATGGCGTTTCGCCTAGTTGTCTAGACCTAATCAATGGCGGGGGTCGATAGCGCGGAGTTGCTGACACCTTTTAAACATAAAAATCAAGCCAAAGCGCAAAAACCGCACCAATTTTAATCACGATTTCAATACAGTATCCCCATAAAAACTCACGTATAGTCTGTGGGATGTGTAGCGGGGAGGCGAGGGTATTTGGGAGGAGTTGAAGAATTAGCATAGCAGCTGGCAGAATACTTAAGCTACTCCTGCTGCTGAATATCCTCCGCCTTCCCCCTCCTTCATCATCTGAATCTCTTCTGTCCACCCGCATCCGCTTCTGATTTGTTGAGGCCGGATGTCTCGTGGGGCCCCCAACTAGCGATTTGATCGCCCTGAAACGAAGAAAATGGATCAATTTAAATTGCAAAACGTATTAAAACGTCAAAAAAAGTTTTTTAAAAAACCTTAAAAAATTTGAAAGAATAAGTTCGAAAAGCAAGAAAAAAACGGAAAAACGAGTAAAGGATTTTTTCATGGTTACTGATAGCTACGAATAGCCCCTCAAGGCAAATAGAAAAATGTTCTCGCTGACTCTTTCGCGCTCTCTCTCTCTCTCTCTCGATCTCTCTCTCTCTCTCTCTCTCTCTTTCTCTCCTCTCTCCAGTCTTTCTCTCTCCAGTTTTTAATGACACTAAAAGGGCAATAATCTACTACTAACAAGTCAGAACGATCATATCAGCAAATCGGGGTACCGAAAATGCGACCAAATTGAGAAAATACGTTGAATTGACGCGAGATATTGACAGAAAATGAGGAACCAGTTGGGGGAGGAGGTTGAGCCGGGGTCCGATCTGCCAAATAGCCCCCCCCAACCCCAAGAAATGAGATGAGGATGACGGAAAAGGAGAGGGAGGTGTTTTATCCCATGAAAACTCGAGTTTCGGGATCCCCCCCCTGGAAAAGGAGAGGAGGCTCGAAGAGGAGCAGGAGGTGGGGCTACGCGAAGCTCCGCCTCCCCCCTGTAATTCCCGGTACACAACCTTCGAACTGTACGATGGAAAGCGACGGAAAAGGTACCAGTTGGGGGTGCAAAGTTTCGAAAAAACCAGATCAAAGGGCTCAGAAGTATTGTCCAGTAGCGTACTGAAGCGTGCTTACGCGTAATGTCGCGTATTCACGTGTATTGCAGCGTAACCCGAAAGCAGCGCGATGGAGAATGAGGGACTGTAGTATACTGAAGCTTACGATAAATTGTAGCGTACTACAGTTTGCTGTTGCGTACTGTACATTAGTGCGCCATGGCGTACGGGCACGTAATTTAACGCGCTGTCGCGTAATCATGTGTACTGTAACGTACTCTAGAGCTGTATGATGAAAAAGGAGGAAAAAACACCAGTTGGGTTTCAAAATTTTTGCAGAAAACCAAGTTAAAAGCGCCGAAACCGATTTTCCGCTAGTACACTTAAGCGAACTGTAGCGTACTCTCGCGTACTGGTGCGAAACAGCAAGTACTATACCGTACGTGAGCTTACTGTGACGTTACGTATTATACTGGAGCGCAGCGGAATGTATCGGAATGTGCTTTTGCATACCAGAGCGTAATATACTGTAGCGTATGGTACGTACTCTGTCCCACTAGGGCGGATTCCACCGTAGCGTAACTTGCAGTGACGTACTGGAGCGTACGTAAGTACTGGCAGGCGCACCGCGTACACTAGTGTATTCCGACGTACTCCGGCATCGGAATTACATCATGCTATAATACCTCAGAATACTGTAAAATACCCAGATACGGTAAAGCGGGGTAACCTATTACAACGTAGCGTCGCGTACTACAGGGTACTGATACGCAGAGCTACTTTGCATTTTCCGGGGTTCTTAAGCGTTTAAAAATGCACCTTAAGCGCATTAATTATTTAGCTTAGAAGGTAAATAAACAACACCTCGAAGCAGGCAAATGAGCCGCGTTTTTCTGCCTGTTTGGGCGTGAAAATCCCCCGGGTTATCCGCTCTTTTTGATGATGAGGGGGGGGGGGTGGAATGCTCAAGGACAAGCCGTTCAACCTGAAAAAGTCCCGCTTACTACGAAGAAAAATGAGTCATTTTATTGTTGAGAGATAGTGGGAGAGCCAGAGAGGGAGAGAGAGAGAGAGAGAGAGAGAGAGAGAGAGAGAGAGAGAAAGATGGAATCCCGTTGCCTTGCTTTGTCCTTTAATCCTTGTATTCTTTTGCGATATAGTCAGGGGACATCGAGAAAACGAGAGAGAGAGAGAGAGAGAGAAAGAGAGGGGAACTGGTGATAGAAAGAGAGACATACAGAGGTCACAAAGCGAGAGAGACAAGAGGAGAGAAAAAGAGAGACGAATTGATAGAGGGAGGAGAGAGAGAGAGAGAGAGAGAGAGAGAGAGAGAGAGAGAGAGAGAGAGAGAGAGAGAGAGAGAATGAGAAAGAGCGTGAAATTGAAGCCGCTGAAACTAAGCCAATTTTCCTAAAGTCAAATCGAACAGCCCGTTTTACCCGTGTTCTTCCTCCCCTCATCCGCCTTCCTCTTGCTCCTCTTTCGATTCCAATAAGGGCCGGCCGTGACTTACTTTCGAGGAGCTGGAGGGGGTGATGGTGGTTGAGGGGGTATCTGCTTGGAACACACAGACACATTTTTGCGGCCGTAATAGCCTCCTCATGCTCCCCCAGGCCCGTTTTGGGGCTTTTCAGGTCAAGCCGGGGAGCTCTACGAGTTCAGCATCGGCTTGAAGAGACGGGAAAGACTCTTCTGGCTGGAAATGGATTTTACCGAGTTAATGATGCTCAAAAAACTGCTCATAGTACTTTTTCGTGCCCGTAAAAACGTGTAAGTTTGCCAGGCGTAGCTACTGCACTTTTTCAACCCGTAAAAAAATTGTCTGCCCAGTCGTGCTGGGACCAATTTAGACTGGCCTTGGGGGGATGGGGGAAGGGGAAACGGTCATTTTCAGAACGATCCTCCTTACGTTCACACCTCACACCACAACGGTTTTTAATGGGGTATGCAAGGAGGAGGACCGGAAAAAAATGTGGAAGGTACTTGGCAGGTTGCCAAGAAAGTTTTGAAGCGGTAGATAAAGGTCGACCTGCACCAATTCCCTTCTGTCAAAATCTCCTTATCTCTCTCTCTCTCTCTCTCTCTCTCTCTCTCTCTCTCTCTCGCTCTTTTTCTCTCTCGATCTCTCTCTCTCTCTGTCTCTCTCGCTTTCTCTCTCTCTTTCTTTCTCTCGATCTCTCTCACTCTCTCACTCTCTCTCACTCTCTCTCTCTCTTTCTCTTTCTCTCTCTTTCTCTCGCCTCTCTAACCAGTTCCGCTGAAACTGAGAAGCCAACTTCAATAAACCCTGCTAGCAATCCAATCTTGCTGTTCCCAGTTTCTCATAATTCGATATGATATCCGTTACCCGGATCATTTCACGATATTGAGGGCAGCAACACCTTTTTGCCGCTGTTTTCGGCTGGTGATGAGGGAAATTGGCGAGAGCAAACCACTGGAGCGAGAAATGTACGTTCTAGCGGTTTTTAGCCAGAAATTTGGGCATGGGTTTTCGTAAAATTAATTTAATTAAACGTCACTTGAGACATCTTCAGGGCGAGAGAACGAGAGAGAGACGAGAGAGAGAGAGAGAGAGAGAGAGACAGAGAGAGAGAGAAGGTGTAAGCTAGAGAAAGGGAAGGAGCAAGTAAGATATTTTTCTTTGCATTCTGATCCGTCGCTACCATTCTCGCGCTTCTCTTGCCGTTCCAGTACCTTCAAAACAAAAATTAAAGCCCAGCAACTTTCCAAATAAACCTTTACACAGTTACAGAGCGCTCCTTCCGCGCCTAGCGCTCCCTGTAAAAAAGCGCACCGAACCCCGCGTGAAGATTGGCGGTGGCGATAATCCCCGCTCATTTCGGGTGATCCCTTTTCGGTGGGTCCCGCCGCGAAAAAACCCCTGAAAACACGGCCCTCAAACGGTGTATTTTTCGGCGCCCCGCGCGTTCGCCTCGGCGCGACAGTTCCACCTTTTAGAGGGCCCTAAAAATCCGGGACGACGAGGTGGAGGTGGCCGAGTCGTAAAACAAATTCCGAGGGAGGTGTTCGTTCGCCTTGGGATTTTTGGGATGTCTGAAACATTGGTCATGTAACGGGACTGGGAAGGAATGACGAGGACTTCCCAAAGGATATCTGCTAGCCTGCCCCTTCCATTCCCAAATGATCTCTGCTAGCCTGCCCCTTCCATTCCCAAATGATATCTGCTAGCCTGCCCCTTCCATTCCCAAATGATCTCTGCTAGCCTGCCCCTTCCATTCCCAAATGATCTCTGCTAGCCTGCCCCTTCCATTCCCAAATGATCTCTGCTAGCCTGCCCCTTCCATTCCCAAATGATCTCTGCTAGTCTGCCCATTCCATTCCCACATGATCTCTGCTACCCTGCCTCTAACGGATACTTCGAATTACGACCAAATCTAGTGAAAACAGGGCCAAAATTTGCATAAATCTGAGTCAGAACTAGCGGGCCTCTGCGATTTGACCGCTTTCCCACAGCCCAAATCCAGGGCTACCGTACTGTAGCCGTGCGGGCGTGTTTTTAGGCCACATCCGGCCCTCTGGGGTGGTTCTCGGCCTCAATTAGGCGTCAAACCATTTCACACGACCCCGGTTCTGTAGCCCTGAAATGGCCTCACACCAACCACCTTCGCTTTGCCTGGGAAATGGTACTCCGGTCCGGCCTTCGGTTTTTAGGTTCTTCTTTACCGCTTTCTGGCGCCCAAATGGAGCGATCACGTATTGCTACCGCCTCAAGGTACGAAATGCAACTCATCTTGGCATGCTAGCAGAGATCATTTGGGAATGGAAGGGGCAGGCTAGCAGAGATCATTTGGGAATGGAAGGGGCAGGCTAGCAGAGATCATTTGGGAATGGAAGGGGCAGGCTAGCAGAGATCATTTGGGAATGGAAGGGGCAGGCTAGCAGAGATCATTTGGGAATGGAAGGGGCAGGCTAGCAGAGATCATTTGGGAATGGAAGGGGCAGGCTAGCAGAGATCATTTGGGAATGGAAGGGGCAGGCTAGCAGAGATCATTTGAGAGCGAGCGTCGAGGTATCTTTCTTTTCCAGCTAAAAACAACAAAAAAACTACAAAAACAGCTAACCTTGGCCCGGATTCCCGAGTAGATGCCGGGCCCCGATTTGAGGGGTTTTCGCGCCGTGCCCCAGGAAAAGCCGACGATGCTATCTCGAGCGACCGTGAGCTAATTCCCGCCACGCAACTCTTTGTGGTTAGGGAAATTGAAAAAGTTGAAAAAAGTTGAAAAAGTCGCGCTAGGATAATCTCCAAAATACCATCTTCGCAAAATTAAAATCATTACCGTTTTTAAGCGCGGTGTAAATCGATTTTCAAAAAGAAAAGATGGAGATGGATTGCTAATATTGCGTGCAAAATAAATACACGGATAAAGCCATGGATTTTACATTTTATTTACATATATTTAGATCTTGCAGCAACCCTTCTTGCCCTTCCCGCCCGCGTCATTCAAATCGAAGGCATCATTCGAGCGGGTTTGGAAATTCTGAAAAAAATAATTAAGCCAGCGGGACAGAGCGAGAGAGGGCGAGAGAGGAGAGAGAGCGAGAGAAAGAGAGAGAGAGAGAGCGAGAGAGAGAGAAAGAGAGAGAGAGAGAGAGAGAGAGAGAGGGGAGAGAGAGCGAGAAAGAGAGCGGGAACGCACCCGTTCTATCGTAGTTCTGTAGATTTGCGTCAGAAGCTCGGTAAATGCTGTCTCGACGTTCGTACTATCCAGCGCAGAGGTTTCTGAAAAGAGTTTGTAAAGTTAAAGGGGCTAAGAAGCCCCGGAATCGACTCCTGGATCCGCTAGCTCTAGACAGCTACAAGTCACTCCAAAGAGCTTCCAGCGGCATTAGGAGTGTGCCGTAGCTGTTAAAGCCTAGTCGATGGAGGGATCGATTTTCGAACTTTCTAAACCCTTAAAAATCTACCAAAAAACGAGAAATTTTGCATTTCGGCAAAGATTCTGGCCTCGTCAGTCGGAACGGCTCGGAGGTGGCGCAAATCGCTCTTGTTGCCCACGAGCGTCACCTAGAAAACTTCTTCACAAAATAAGGGTGCTTTCGCATTATCGGGGGGGAGGGAGGGATAAGTTGTTTTTCAGTTTTTGTTCGATATTTTATGGGCAAATTTCAATATTTCAGGGGGGAAACCTACAAAATTTTAGAAAAAGAAATTTAGAATTTTTGGTCGAAAATCACGGTTATTTGTGTTGTCAACAGTTTTAGAGTTTGTGGTTCTTGTGTATTCCTGGCGGGGGGAAAGAATTCGCGGGGGGGGGAACAACTTTTTTTGGCCCAAGCCTAGATTTTTTATATAAATAGTGGAAGTGTTTCTAAATTGTTCATAGCTATTCCTAAACATAAAAACTTTACAAAATTTAATTAAAAAATTTAATTTTAGGTAGAAAAATCGATTTTTTTTTCGGCCCAAAAATGACCAAATTTTCGACTTTTTCAAGCGTTTTTCTAACTTTTTAAAAAGTTTTTCCGATTCAAATAGGCTTAAATTTTGCTCAAAACAATGTGAGAACACTTTATATTTGATTACTATCCCAACCAGGCCCCACAAAAAAAAGTTGGGCCCCCCGGAATACACAAGAACCGAGTTTGTTTACAGTTTTACGTTTGGCAACAGTGGCAACAGTTTAGAAACATTTACTCGATGTATACTAGCAAAATTGGAGCGAGCGTAAGCAGAAACGGAAAGCCTGGTTTGGCCCAAAATTGGCGTTTTTGCCTAAAATTAGCTATTTTTGTATTTTTAACCTAAAAATTTGTTAAAATTTTCACATAGCGTGACTCCTCCTCCCCGATAATGCCACAGCGATAAAGCTTTTGTCCGGTTACGGCATTCAATTCACCCCATACCTGTATCCCCGGATCTCCATGCTCGCGCAGCTCCCCGAGCCATCGCTCCAGGTTACGGTAGCTCTGGTGGTTGGCTAAAATGCAGAAAAATCACAGTAGTACGACTAAAATTTCCATATTTGGAAGAATTTGCAGGTTTAGGTTTTTAGATACTCACCAACATCATATACCAGCAAAGCCCCGACAGCTCCGCGGTAATACGCCGCCGTAATGGCTCGGAATCGCTCCTGGCCGGCCGTGTCCCAGATTTGGGCTTTCACAGTTTTCCCGTCAACCTGGAGACAAGTATAACTTTTTTTGGAAACTCGGCCACCTGTACTGAGGCGCATTTGAACTCGACGCCGATCGTCTGCCGCGTCTCCAGGCTGAATCGGTTGTCGGCGAATCGGGACAGCAAGTTGGTTTTTCCGACTCCGGAATCGCCGAGTAGAATCACTGAAAAAATTGGCAGTTAAAGGGGTTACGAAATGCCAAAAATTGAGTAACGGCCCGAAAAACGGGGCCCTGTACGTCGGAGGCCTCTGTACGCTCAGGGGCCGGGAAGCTCGCAAAATTTGAAATTGCCTGTTGTCACCTCGAAATCACGTTCTCGGCTGTTTCTGGGCCAAATTTGATGATTAAAACACCAAAACTATTTAAAATTGAGTGAGGATTTCAAAAATGGGCTCAGAATGCGCGAATTCTAGTGTTTTCACAAAGAAGAACAGGCAAAAACAACTTGGCGCAAAAATCGAAAGAGTGAGGGTTCTCGTCCCGCAGCGCCCGCTGGCAATTTGCCAGAAATCAAAGAGCCCTCCCAAAAGGGCTTTGATTTGGCAGTTCGGAGCCCCTTTAAAAGGGGCTGGAAATCTGGTCCGCGGCCCCCGCGTTGATTCCTGGCAAATAGTCAGATACGACGGCAACGCGACCGCGCCGCATGTTCTTTTGCCCCTGTTTGGACGTGAAAACGCTTGAATTGAAAAATTCTGACGATATTTCGGGAATCCTCACGCAATTTTGCTCATCACGACGTTTTAGGGATGTAAATTGGCGAGAGAATCACCTAGATCGTGAGAATGGGTGCCTTACAAAGCATTACGACATGTAATCGCCGCACGCACAAAAATTGGTTTTCGCGGCGATAGAATTACGGTTTTACTCAAATATTTTACGTTTTTTTTGGCAAAAATTACGTGACTGGTACTTCTCGACAGTGCCCTTTCGTTTTTTCACCAGCAGGTTCAACCCCTGCAGGCACGAATTTTGACTTCCGGACCCCTTTAAAGAGTCTGGCAAGCTAGGAAATCGACGCCTTCCATCGACTAGGTCTCGACAACTACGCGAAGCGCCAAATTACATGGTTAACTATTTTTAAAGCGTTTTGCGACGTTTCGCCAAAAGCAAATGACGATTTCACGCCGCATTCATGGTTTCCACCTGCGATAATTCGACCCCCCCTCGTTAAGCAACCATTACCCAAAACCCATAGCCATGCATTGCCTGCCCTTGAAAATGCAGATTTTTTCAAAAATTCTTGAGGTAAGCAAAACGGCCTTACCTTTCTAATTCAGATTTTTTGATTCTTAAGTTAAACGAAAAAACCTTACCCTTAAAAAGATAATCGTACTCGTCGTGGGGCTGCATTATAACTTAACGGAATTGGGGTAAGATTTTTAGAATATTTTTGCTGATTGCGGACGCAAAATAGCAGTGCAAAAACGGAGGGAATTCCCCCCTTATACGCTAAAAAGCGTTGCCCAGCGATAAGACGACCCAATGACTCATTTCACCCCCCGTATTTCGCCACCTTCCCCCAAAAAATTTCGCCGCCCTCCCATTTCGGCGTACACCAGCCGTGAATCAGCCGTGCTCATCAAAGAAGACAGATTACGGAGCCGATATTAATATTTAAAAAAATTGGAAAAAGTAAAAAAGGTATGAAAAATACGAAAATCGACCGCTTCCAAGGGCTCGGTCTAGACAACTACGTTACACTCCAAAGTTACGAATGCCGAAAGCACTGAATCTCAGGTGAAATAAAAACCCAGCGGTTGGGAACCAATCGCAAAATTCGGAAGGACAACGCGTATGTATCTGTCGAGACCCAGTCTCAATAATAGGTAGGTTTTTATGTGATTTTTCTTCTTGATGGTAACGCCACTTCAACAAATGGATTTTATCGGAATTCATAGCCAACCAGAATACCAATTCATTTCTTATTTAGTAAGCGACCTCCGTTTCCGAAAAACAACCCCTTCGATTGACTAGGTCTCGTCCTCGATGCGACAGCGACCCACATGATGTTCTTTTGTAGCCTGTGAAACCGTATTGCGTTAATTAAAGGGCTAAAACGGTGCAAATTTGAATGCGACGATAACACTCACTGCAAAAACTCTAAAGCGAAAGTTTAGCAAAACAAAATTTTTTTCGAGCGACATTTCGGCGCCTCGTTGTGCGCGTGCCAATTTGCGTCGTATTGGAGGCGTACGTACGGCATCCAATCCATCAATCTCGGTGATTGCGACCAATTTTAGGATTGATTTTGGTGACCGAAATTACGTGTGGATTCCAGAAATGGTGTCAGAATTGGCAAACTCACGGTTTTTCGTCTCGAAACCGTGATTAGAGGACACGCGACACGGTGGCGTTGACGCCGTTTTTGGCTCCGTGCCAGGAATCAACGGATAAGGTGGACCAGACTTCTTATTGTTAGCCCCTTTAAAACAAGGCGGGTCAGTGCTTCGCGCATCAAAAAGTTTCCCAAATTGGCGATTTATGGTCTAATATACTTTTTATCGACTTTTTTTCAGGCCTACCCACGAAAAGTTCCATTCAATGGCATATGATTAACGATTCACACAATACATTGACTGCAAAGTGGCTCTCACGACGCGACGTCGATTCGACAGCCATGGGTAGTTAGTTCCGCCCCGACGTGGAAGCAGTTTCATCCCTCTTCCACCACTGGATGCTTCACCTAGAATTTTGGATGGAGATTCTGGCACTTGCACTCTGATTCTGGAGCCTGAAAAATCGAAGTACACTATAACTATAAGAACTTCTTGCCAATTATGCGGAGTAGAAGAGCCTCTTCACAAGACTTGAAAGCGATTGGCAGCGATTTCGAGATCCAGTGAGTTTTAAGGGCACCAACAAGTTTGAGAATCGACCCCTCCATCGACTAGGTCTGGATTTTTTGATGTTGACGTTTTTTCTAGGGCAATGATCGAAGAGCCCGACGTCGTTGACGATGCGCCATGGGACGCGATTCGCCTGTCAGCCGCCCTGCTCTGTATCCTCGGCATCAACTCATCCATTTTCACGCCCGGATTATGGGGGTACCTGCAAAGCGTGGGTTCTGAATTGTCGAGACTTTAGAATTTTTTCGAAACGTTCGAGATGAATAATCGAGGTGAAATAGGCATTGAAATTTCGACAATATTCTATTTCCACAAAATAAAATGAACCCATCGAGATTACAAGGTTCAATTTTATTAAATTTCGACATTATGAATTTCGGCGTTATTATTTTCAGAAATATAGGGGACTAAATATGGGCTTAGCTTCGAAACAAATTTTCCAGCTCGACAAGTACGCGGATGTCGCATGGCTGGGACGTGCCATGTCTACGCAGGCGGTCACCTCCATCCTGGTACGCTTTTCCTAAGTTAAAAATTCAAATTTTTAGGCCGATCCATTCTTCGGCTGGTGCCAGCAGCACTACGGCTTCAGGGTACCGCTGAAGGTCACCGTCGCTTTGGTCGCATTAGGTTCGACATAGCGACCTACATACAAGCGTCATTTGGCGCGTTACGTAGTCGTCTAGACCCAGACGATCGAATTCGGCGATTTTTCCTTATATGCTAGCTTTCAGGAAATGTCCTCTACGCCTTGCTGTACGTCGCCGGCGAGTGGCGATACGTGGTGCTGGTGGCATCACGAGCTCTGCTTGGATTTCTGGCTCGTAAGTGGTTTACGCAACAAGTGCAGGACTGCTGCGCTTGCGTTGCGTTGCGTTGCGTTGCGTTTGAGTTGCGTTACTGGCGTCACATTGCACTGCATCGTAGTTCGCGACGCAGCGATGTGTAAAGTTACGTTGCGTAGCGTAGTGTAAAATTTTGATGGCGTTGCGTAGCCTAGTGTAACATTTCATGCCAGAACATTTTAGCGTAACATTTTCATGGCGTTGCGTTACGTTTGCGGTTGTACTGTGCTGCTTTTCGTTGCGTAGCGTACGTTGCGCCGCATCGTCAAGTGGCGGCGCGGGGCGTGGTTTTTCGCCACGCTGCGATACTCGACATGACGTTCTTTAGCGTAGGGTATTTCATGGCACTGTATTGTGTGTTGAGTTGCGATACGTAAGATAACGTTTTGTTTCGCTGCGTTGCGTAGCTTCGTTTCGCTACGTCCCATAGTGCTAAGTTGCGTTTCGTCGTCATTTTCGATAGCTGTAAATCATTTTATCTAGACCTAGCCGTTTGGAGAGGTCGATTTTACACAGCCTAGTCCCTTTAACGCCAACTTTAGCAAGCATCACCCTTTTCCGCGTGTTCGCCACTACAAGTGTCGGCGCAGATGAGCGACAACGCGCCTGTCTCTACCAGCTGGCCGGCTTCATCACGGGCCTCGCCCTCGGCCCGTTCATCCAGGTACAAATCATTCACAATTTGAAACTATTTTCCTAGGCTGCATTTGGCTACGTTCCCGCGCTCATCGTCTCGGGCGTCGTCCTCGACAAGTACAGCTGGCCGCCAGCGGTGATGGCGTTGAGCAGCTGCTTCATCCTCGTCGTGGTACATCGCCACTTTCCGGGAAGACACGTCAAACGGGGACCAAAACCGGAAAAGGCGGAGCGAGATGAGATGGACAGTCAGAATACCGCGCCTCGGCTACGTCGAAGCGACTTGATCATCCTCAGCCTGTTGCTTTACCTCTACGCGGCCGTCTCGATCGCGTCGGCTGCCGAGTACATGTAAGCTTTTTACAGGAAGTGACGCAAGAAACATCGCTTCTCAGGATTGCTGCCCCACTGACCCGGGCGATGTACGGGTGGACGGACGCGGAGTTTCTGGTTTACCACTGGCCCATCCAGACGGGACAATGTCTTGCCGGGACCGCCGCCAGCCTCATCGTGGCCGCGACGCCGTTGCGAAAAATGTGGGCGCTTTCGAGGGGCTAGGAAAGACCAGAATCGACCCCTTCCATCGGCTGGACCTAGACAGATACTTGAAACACCAAATGACGCAATTTGGCGTAGTTGATTTGATCCGAAATTTTAAGTGACAAGCGACGCCTTTTCAATGCGTAATGCTGCATGCGCGTTGCGTGTCCACAACCGCCCATGGGTTCGGTCCGCATGGTTCAAGGGAAAGGGCGTACTGTACGTGTTTTTCGCGCGTTGCGTGCCGGTGCGCGGAATAGCAACCGGTCTTTAGCTGCGCAGGCCTGCTTTCGCAATTTCGCGACGCGACTATCGCACGCGTTGCGGTCTTCCCTCCTTTCCAAAGCTAGCGGACTTTTTATTAGGAGCCGGGCCGCTGTGTGTCACGTTCGCGCCGAATGCATAGGAAATTTATAGCAAAAAACGCCATAGTTATGCCTTGTCTGTTTTTTTTTGATAACCCCGAAGGCGTGGCGCTTAGAAAAAGACGCTTCACGTCATTTGTCGTGTTGCGTGTTTGTCTAGACCTAGTCAAGGCTAAGAGTCGATTTTCGCGCCTACTAGTCCTTTTAATATACATTCAAAATTTCCGCTGGAGTGGATGCCTTCAAAAAAAAAAATGCAAATTCAGCTCAATATTTGAGATTTAGGAGATTACGGTGCGCTTTTCAGTGACCACCGCCGCCAGCTTGCCTTCGCCCTGTCGATGCTGATCATCGGAAGCTTGTCCCTGTACCCCTGGCCCTTCTACCCTTCCGTCAGCCCCCAAATTACACAGCAAATAACGACGTCCGTCACGAAAAAGTACGGTAGTTTTGTGGGGACTGCAAAATCGCTAATATCGGGCTTAAAATTTGGAACCAATAATTTTGAAATGCCAGGATTCCTCTCCCTCTGTACGTGATGGCGATGGTGATCTGCTACGGCCCGTCGCTGGCCATTGCCAACTCGTTGCTCACCTCAATCACCACGGAAGTGCTTGGGAATCGGCAGCAGGTGAGGGAATTGTCGTAACCCTGGACGAATCCATAATTCTGTCGACCCGGTTCGTTTAGACGAATTCCTGACAGATCATCATCAGCTTTAGGGGCTGGTGCACAGCGTGATGTCGGCAGCAGGCGGTGTCGGCACGGCGCTGTGGCCCCTGTTCGCCATGTAGGTTTTGCGTTTTGTGGATGGTTTTGGAAAAATTTAGGCCGACACGTAGAAGGTTAAAGGAAAGACTCAAGTCCTATCCCTAGCGTAACCGATTGAAAATGCTTATTTAAAATGCCTAAAGAAAGCCTTTTTCAGTCGTTTCTTCCCGGTCGACGGCACGCGCACTATTTCTCTCTGCAACGCCTCGATCTACGGGATTGGGCTGCTGATGTTCCTGGCGGCTGCCCGTTACCTCGGGCCGCGAGCTGTAGAGGAAGATGCTGAAGCGGACGACACAGAAATGGCCGAAAGGCGCGCCCAATAATCCAAAAATATCTAAACTGAAACCCAAACCAAACTGGGGTTCCCCCGGTCTTTGCTATAACTATTTTATTTTACAGTATTTTGCGCTGGGATTAAAGCCGTTAGTATATTTTTTGACGCTCTATCGAATGGTTATGAGAACATCCGGAAAAATACTGGGTGTCCCCAAAAAAAGCACGCCCTCTAGCGGTCCGGGGGAAACTCAGATCAGGGTCATCTTTATACCATCCGAAAGCCCGCGAAAAGCCGAGAAAACAAGCGGGCTTCATTTTCTAAAATTTATTCTTATTCGTCCAATATTCAACGTTTTTGTAAAAAACAGGCAGCTTTTCAATAGGAATTTCGCAATTAGCATGCAGATCTCGCGTAAATCTGTCGTTTTCTTGGTTTTTGGAGCTAAAATTCGCGGATAAAAAACATAATAAAGAAAATGAACCCTCCTTGTTTTCTCGCCTTTTCAAGAGCTTTCGATAGAGACCAAAACGGTGGAAATCGGACACGACTGCGCGCCGCTAGAGGGGGGTGCTTTTTTTTGGGACACCCTGTAGTGAAAATATCGAAAAGGTAACTTTTGAGTGCATAGTTCAATTGTCAACATTCTTTCGACCTCGAGTGTCAAATGGATTCGTTAGGAAATTCCTTAATTTTTCAATAAAAATGCCTGCTCGCATTAAAATGTTAAAGTGAAAATGTTAAAGTCGAAATTTTTATGAATATTTATCGCAAAAAAACCCGTAGCGAGAGCAATTACATGTATTATACATCATGAGCATCAATGGCAAGGCAAAAAACATTCTGACCAGAGTTCGTTGCAAAAACATTCACGTTGCGTAATAGAATAGAAGATTCCGGATATTCCAAAATTGATGTAGTATAAAAAACATCAGCTCATGCTAATTTCGATGAGCAAAAATCGGAGCACCACTTGGATACATTGCATAGGCAAAATGAAATGAATAACTATATGAATAAGTATAAAATATATAAATGAAATTGAAAATGGGAATAACGAAAACATTGCCAATTTATAGGACACCTGATAGTCCTTTCCTAACTTTCAAAAAACATTTCCTTGCCTTACTGCCGCTTCTTTCAAACGCTGGTGGTGGCTGTGTCCCTTGGCGGTCGTCGCGGTTCACGTGGCGGCCTCGTGCCTCGCACCCCAGCGCGCCAGACCAGCCAATTCCGCCGGTCGCGCATCCTCTGGGATTGCTGAAAAAAATATGGATGGTAAATATATAAAATTTTAGATATTGGATGAAAAATTTTGATCATACACAAGACATTTTTTGGTTCTGGACTGTTAGCGGGGGGCATTTTTCCCCTATTTTTTCGTAGGGCCCTATAAGCAAATGTAAAAAAATTTTCTAAGATTTTACATAGTTTTTAGATATAAAAAATGTAGAAAAACAATATAAATTTTCGAAAAGTTTGGAAGGTTTACTCAAAAATTAAAATATTTTTTGTAACTTTCTAGCAATCAAAAAAGTTTTTTGATTGCTAGAAAGTTACAAAAACTAAACTACTAAACTAAAAACTAAAAGACTAAAAACACTACAAAAAATGCATTTTATATCGTCAATAGGTTAGGTACTGGTCGAAAAACAATAAGTGGTCCCCCCCGCTAACAGTCCAGCACCAAAAAGCCTCTACGCAAACATGTGGCTTGTGCAACACTAAAACGGCTACTGCAAAATTGTCCTTACCTCGCTGTAGCAGAGCGTCACCCCGGCCTGCTGGAGCGCTCCGTACGCGAAGTTCGCGAAGCAGCTGTAAAAAAGATACAGTAAAACGATAGGACGAATAGGAATCGAATAAAACACTTGAAACAAAAATGAAATAACGTACAGCCCCCAGAACAGGTGCACGGGGTGGAGCTCCTGGAGGCCGCTCGCCACCAAGATCCAGGTCTCGAAGAGCTTGGCTGGAATACAAGTTATTGCGGCATATACAGGGTGCCCCAAACCCCCCCCCCCTCCCTCGGCGTTTGGCCGTCTTCTTTTGCATCGGGACCAAATTTTTACCAGCGATGGGGACCCATAAAAGCTATGTGCAGCCGAATTTTCTAAGCAAAATATTGTAAAACAAAAAAGTTATCGCTAAAACACTGATCTTTGGGAAACGCTGGTACGCATTTTTGGCTATGTTTTCGTAAATAGTATGCCGATTTTGAGCAATTTTCCCAAAAATCGTCGTTTTCGGGAAGGTTTCTGTCAAATTTGATAATAAAAAGTGATTAAAGGTCCCAATTTAGACGTAATTTTCGTACATCAAAATTTTTCGCCGGATGGAAAAAGGTGCCCTCTTCATTGTTGCTAAACATTTTGAGGTCCAAATCCCACAAAACCATGGTGAAATCGGCAAAATAAAGCTTAATTTCGATATAACTTTTCTGTTTTACAATATTTTGCTTAGAAAATTCGGCTGCACATAGTTTTTATGGGTCCCCATCGCTGGTAAAAAATGGGTCCCGATCGGATAGAAGACGGCCAAATGCCGAGGGGTGGTTTTTTTTGGGACAGCCTGTAGATACAGGTGGTCTCAAATTAGGAGAGGTGCGGAAGGCCGAAGGGTATGTAAGGCTAGCCAGCATCATTCGAAAAGAAAAGGTCAAAGACGGTCAAAAATTTCGGTGAAATCGGTTTTAGGGCAAAACTGAAGTGTTTTTAAACTGTTTTCACTATTCCTAAACGTAGAAACTTTCCAGTTTTATTAGAAAAATACAAAAATCATTGATTTTTCGAGTGAAAAATGGAGTTTTTGGACCAAACTTTCGACTTTTTGAAAAATTTGTCAAAATTTTACATATATTTCCATTCATTTCGACTAAAAGCATTATTAAAATACTTCCTGTTAAGCTACAAAAGGTTTCTAGGTCAGTAAAAAAGAAATTGTTTTTCGAGACACCTCCGCAGGCCGTCTTTTTCGATTTCATCTGCTAATCCTCAGAAGGTTTGGGGTTTTGATACAATTTCGCAACCTTTTTAACGTTCTAAGTTCGAACTTCTAACGCAAAAAAACAACGCAATAAAAAACTCACGGGCCATGGCGAGCAGCGCGCCCAGGAGCGGCCGCGTGGATGGGCGGCCCTGCCGCTTCAGCGTGACGGCCAGCGCGATGGCGGCGATGGCTTAAATGGGATTTTACACAACGCGGCATTCGAACACTGTGTTGAATTGAATACTAGTTATTGGAAAATACTGGACTATTTAATGCCCCATCCCCTGTTATAGAATGACTGTCATTTTTCCTAAATGCATTTTTCTTAAAATTCTTTTTCCCCCAAAAGTAATTTTTCCTAAAACCGGCTAAATATCGAAAAGGCCACAGTTCTTTAGTATTATGAACGATAAAATCGAAATTTTTTCCTAATTAATTAATACATGCTTTTTAACATTTTTACGCTTTCCTATTTACATCCAAATTTTAGAAAAACGAAGTTTACGAAAAATTAGTTTTCCTTGTAACGTTTAAAACAATTGTTCATTACTGACAAGATTGAGGTACGAAGTAGGTTAGGTACATTTATTAGAACTTACCGTGGAGGGCGGTCGAGCCGAGCCCGATGACGAACACCATCGCCCAGAGCCACGGGTCGGCCACCAGCGCCACGGCGATCCACGAGTCCGCCGCCTCAAAATGCATCGAATTAGCAACGTGCCAGTTAACAAGGAGACGGGTTCTGTTCTATTTCGCGGGGGGAACTGTGCGGGGGATATGCTTCGCGGCAACTTCCATCTTTTCGCTATTTTCTCGGGTTTTGCAAAGCCATTCGATAGAGCATCAAAAAATATACTAAGAGTTTTCGTTTTAACGAAAAATATTGTAATATAAAAAGTTATAGCAAAAACAAAAAAAAACTATTGAAACTAGTGCCGGAATGTTAGTTTTCGGCATTTTCGCCAGTTTTTCGATACTTTGAACCTGTCATTCGATAGAGCATCGAAAAATATACCAAGAGTTTTTATTTCATATAAAAATATTGTTTTATAAAATAGTTATAGCAAAAACAAGGTTTATTTGGTGTTTCCACATGGGATCGTGGAGTCGAAAGCTAGTTTTCGAATGACTTCTTCGGATGGGACCAAGCCTATCTTGTACAGAATTTTTTCGCTGATTTGGAACCTTTCTCAAAAACTGCAAAATATTGCGGATTCTCAAACGTTATGTAGCATTTCAGTTGGTATTTTCGCGCCCGCCAAGTGAGGCCATAATGCCGTCGTTTTCTGTTTTACTGCACTAATTTACTAAAATACTACCTGATAGAGAATTTTTCTGATTCGAATCGTATATTTCATTAAAACATCCGGCTTCGAGGCCGCACAGCTGCGCGAAATACGCCCTTTTTCGCCAAGTCCCATAAAAAATTCGGAATTTCGATAATTTTCAGTTAAGAGGCCGATTCTATAAAGAAAAAAAAATTTGAATACGATTCGTTTTCAGAACATCCGTCAGAAAGATCAAAATAATAGCTTTTTACGATCCACAATTTTTGAGCCAAAAAACGTAAAAGCCTTATAATTTTTGCATCAAAGCTAGTTTGCAGTTTTTGAAAACAGATTTGGAATCAGCGAAAAATTCTACAAAAGATAAGCCAGGTCCCGATACTTTAAAACGTTTCCTTGTTAGTGAAAGGTGCCCAAAAAACGGTTTGCCAAGGAGACTGGTCAACATTTTACATACTGGAGTTTTGGTTTTGTATTGCTAGTTAAAATTGGGAAGAGAATAAGGGGTGGCGATCAATGATACCCCAAAAACTTTCAACCCACAATCTAAAAAGGAAATTGGGAAAATCGATGGGAACCGTTGAGACCGCCATTTTTTAAACCAGCTAACAGAAAAAAATAACTGATTTCTCCTATCTAAATCCTTCGACTGTTAATTAAAGGGGCTAGGAAATTCCTCGCTAAAATCTCCGCCTAACCCGCTAGATGTCCGGAATCACTAAAATTGCATTCCCCGAAAGCTTGTCCTGAAAATTCCCACCCGCCACCAGAT